TGGGGCTGCCTGCAGCAAACTGCCCCCCCCCTCCCCCCCGCTCTGACCAAGGGAAGCAGCTGGCAACGTCCCGCACGTGAGGATGTAAAACCCCATGTAATTGGCTAACGTTGTGTTTAAACGGTTAACCGGCAGTGGGGGCGCTCCAGCTCCTCTGCCGCCAACAGGGGCTGCTCTGGCCAGGCCTGGGTGCCCCTGTGGCATGTCCAGGGTGGGCTCTCTGTCGCTGGGCTGCTCCTGCTGGGTAGGAGCACTCCCCACCCGTGCTGGGCTCCTTGGGACGGAGCAGCCCCTGCCTGTGGTGGGCAAGGAACAGCTCCAGCCCCCACTAATGAATTGATTAACCATTCTCATTCCCTTGTCCCGTATGAGTTGGGGGACGTGGTTCACCCCTTCCTCCCATCCTCTCTAAAGGATGCCTGAGGGGTGGGAGGCTCAGTGTTGTGGCAATCCTGGACAGGGCAAATGCCCCCAGCCAGCCTCTTTCACTTTTCTGGTGATTTGTCTCTTTTCTGTATGTTTTTATGAGATGCTACCCCATTCCAGGCCCATCCCATTTTCCTGGCACAACCAAACTTTTACTGTTATGATATGAGGAAGCTGTATACCAAATTTGGTAGTCCTAGCTCTTACCATTTAGGAGGAGTTCTGAGACAGACACATACTCTCAATATATAGTCGATTGATATGGTGCTGTTAACCTACATGAACCCTTATAGACAGTCAAGATGAACAAATCCACACTGGTGTTACTTTTTATATTACATCCCCTTTTTGTTGAAATTGTAATATAAAAATGTAATATAAACGTAATATAAAAAATACTGAGTATCCGTATTAGAGAGACAAGTTGGGTGAGGTAATCTCTCTTCTTGGACAAACTTCTTTTAGTGAGAGAGAAGCAGCTTTGGAGCCATACTCTTTTACAAGTCCAGGAATGATTCTAAGAGTCCACTAAAAGCTATCAGAACACCTGCTTTGTCTCTGTAATGCTCTAATGACTATCCCAGCTACAACTGCATTACATATATTAGTACCTATATGCAGGGCTTGACAATTAACATAATCTACTCGCCACAGCACGGCCGCACAGCACGGTCAGCACATGGTCTGCGGGGCCCGCCGCCACTTGGCAAGCCCGTCCTATATGGCTGATTTATGTTTGTCACTCATGTCATTGAGTCCTATCCTTGATATGCTGTACCCATAAGAATGACCACCCTGAGTCAGGATACTAGGCTAAAGGAACCGTAGCTCCATCTTCTAACAGTGACTGGTGCCAGGTACTTCAAAGGGAGTGATTAGAACAAGGCAACTTACCAAGTGATCCATCTCCTGTCATCCAATCTCAGCTTCTAGCATTGCAACCATGATGCAAGCAAAATTGTTTAAACACTAGCAGTTTCTTGGCCACTATAGATAGATTTTGTTACTGGCACTCGTCTCAAAGTGTTGCAAGGATTTACGTTATGTTTCAAATGACCTAGGAAAATAAATAGGATGGTTGGGTTACTGTGGCTTTCTGGATCAAGTACCTGCCTACATCAGTCAGGGAAACAGTAGTAACAACATGCAACTGACGAAGTGGGTCTTTGCCCATGAAAGCTTGTGCCCAAATCAAATTTGTTAGTCTTTAAGGTGTCCTAGGACTCCTAAGAGATACTACGTATCAGAAGAGTTACTGGGTTAGTCCGTAACAGCAGCACTGACATAGCACAGCTTCCAGCTAGGATGTAAACTATGTTTAAAAAAAATTAACTGTGTAATCGATAGAAAGTCCATCGGTTATAGTTACAATTAAACGGGCTCCCCAGGCTGCTGGCACCACAAGCTCCAGGCTGCCTGCTGCCCACTCCTGCTCCCTAGCAGAGTTTAAATGGTAACATGAGCCAATAAGCATGAGCTTATCGGTTAATTGTTTAAACTCTTACCTAGCTCCAGCTGAGGTGCGGGCAGCGATTTAGTCTCAGTGCGTACTAGTTGCTTTTCCTCTCCCACCTCCCAGGAATTTTCAACTAGAAATAGATATTTCAGCATGGCAATCTAGTCTGCTTCTCCATCAAATGTTTGATTGAAGCAATTCCCTTTTGCTTCCCATGCTTCTGGACCATTTGCAAAATGCTATTCTTTAGCTGTGCCATAATTAGAGCAGCTACTTGTCTCTGCTTCTGTTGAGTCCTAGTGAAAATTAATCTTAAAATAGACCAAAGCAGTCCAACACCACATTTATCTTTTCCTTGGATATTGAGAGCATTGCTTGGTTGATGGCCTGAAAGTGAGGATACTTGTTAAGAGTTCTCTCATCCAGCAGATTGAACAATTTTTTAAATAAAAAATGTGATACTGAGATACTAAGTTTAGGAACAGGTGATAAGGGATTGTAACAACTCAGATCTCCAGACTTTACTTGCAGCTGTGCAAAAGCCTGGCTTTACTAAACCAGTGTGGTAGATACTAAGTCCCTAGTTTGCATTGTTGGCCATTGTGAATTACAGAATTTTACAGATAAACCAAGAAAACCGAAGTCTAGGATACTGAATTACAGGTGCTTTACTTCTTATTTTAGTATAATTATAATATAGTCAACTTATAATTCTTCATATTTAAGTGTGTTGTGATCTAATTTTTTTTTATAAAAGAGACTTGATAACATAAGGTCTCCTACAGCTACTACAGTGTTGCTCAGAGCTGAGGAATGACTTAGTACATGCAAGAAAAATACTGGGTTATCATATAAGCAAAAGACCTAAGATTATGAGAGATGAACATTTAAAAAAATATCCTCACATAGGCATTTAAAAGTTTTAATTCTAGAAACCCACACTGTAGCTATAGTAGTCATAATGCTTTCAAGGGAAGGGGACACCAAAAAGAATTTCAGTCTTGTATAATCTCATGAGAATCTCTTGAAGGTAGAGAACTCAGAAGGCATAGCTTTGCACAATGCACTAATTGTTATTTATCTGAGAAATAGGTACAGGGGTTTGATTCCAAGCTTTAACAGGTCTTCAGGTAGACTTGGCTAGGGATTTCAGTACATAACATCAAACATTTCTCCTTACTGAGGTGAGAAGTACGGATGGGAACTAGCATCTCTTGTTGATCAGGTGGCAGTTTAGTATTCTGGCCGGCCAAAAATAAAGTTATTTTGCGTTTTTTTTTCCTTGGCTTTTTTGAGTAGGTTGAAACTTTATTTTGGGTCTCCTGAAACTACCTTGTCTTTTGTCTTTCAGCTTGTGAACACGTTCTTCAGTTTCCTCAGACGCAAAACTGACTTCTTCGTCGGCGGAGAAGAGGGAGTAGCAGAGAAGGTAACTCCCCTCCCCTCCTCCAAATCTTCATGACTGATTTCGTCCATCCCCAGAGCAAGTTATTCTCTGTCTGGGAACACTCAGTGGACCACAGAAATGAGTTCTTCAGATTTTCCAGTTATTGCTTTGCCTCTGTGCTTTCCTATTGCCATCTGATTATTTTTTACTGCTCTGTGGGCCTGACTTTGTGATGCTGCTGAAATATACTAAGGAAACAAGGTCATAATAAACTGCCCCATCCACAACTGAGCAGTGGTAACAGGCTTTTTGGGCTATGCTCTGGCCAAAGGCTTGTTTGGAAAGCATGCCTGCCAGACGCACTGATTTGACTGGGTCAGACACCGCAGGTTTAATAACCCCAGGTTACCTTGTTTATTCATTTCAGAGAAAACACAAAGTCCATCTCACATAACTGCCACTTTGTCTCTGAGCTGAAGGCTATGAGACTGGTGGTTACTGTGTGGGTGTGAGAGAACTGGACCCTTCAGGTTCCTGGCATGCCTGACCCTACTGCCACGTACTGCATTTCATATTTAATCTCAGAACAGATCTCAGCACTCCAATATGAAGTATTCAGAACTTTCGGAAAGCCTTCTGTAGTTAGCTATGGAGTAGCAGTTCCAAACTTCTTCAGGGTGTGGCCTGTATATTAGCAGCATCTCATGGAAACATTCATTTCCATACAGATCACTTCCTCTCCTACTGGCTATTGGATAACTTCTGTGGCAACTATAGGAATTTTTGTATGAAATAAATAAATATTGGGACATTATGAAATATATTTACAGGTGCTGTAATTCAGTTTAGCAAGTGGAGGCAAGGAACGACCAGAAGATTGTGATCAACAAATTCTCTGCATGCCACCGCCAAGTGCTTTATCAACCACTGCTGGCCTGCAGGCCACAGGGTTTGAGAAGCACTGCCATATGGCTTTGTCAATGCTGCATAATGTATGCACGCTGCCCACTGTCATGGTCAGAGTTGAGACCTAAAAGCTGGGACTCCTGGCTTCTGTGTTGTACTGTCAAAAGTTACTTAGCAAGTCAAATCACTTAGCAGTTTCCCTCAGTTTCCCCATCCGTTACTTAGCAAGTCAAATCACTTAGCAGTTTCCCCATCCGTAAGAAGAAGTTAAGGTTTCATTCTCTGGTAAAGTGTTTTGTGATCCTCAGAAAGATGCTGCATGCAAAACATGACTTCTCTGCCTTTTGCAACACAGTGCCCCAACAAAGGTTTGAAGAACCCCTATTTCACGCTCTCATTCTCCCTTTACCCCTTGTAACTCTTAATGTTTCCTTTGGGACTGAAATGTCTTGTGTATAGTCTCAGCAGCAAGGTGAAGCTTTAGTGGTAGGGTAAGGGGAATTATGCAGCTGTGGAGGGTGACAATACACACCTCCTCCCTCTTTTTAAGAACTTTTTTGTGCTTGACTAACTTGGAGTGCTTGTTTTTATATAGTCATACTATGGAGCAAGTCTTTGATAATCACTGTACAGTCAGTAAATTATACTACATGCAAATATAGATTTTTGTGCTTCTGTTCATGGCTACTCAAATGATGAACCAACTTTCAAAAGAAACTTGAAACTGAGCCAGTTCCACAAATGGTTGTATAACACTCTGCCATGTGCTGCCAGGTATGTGTGAGATCCTGATCTCAGTCTCTGACTCTCCCGTGATGTGGGTTAGGCAATGTATAACACTCTGCCATGTGCTGCCAGCTATGTGTGAGGTCCTGATCTCAGTCTCTGACCCTCCCGTGATGTGGGTTAGGCATACTGCAGACAAATACAGGTTGAACCTCTCTAGTCTGGCACCCTCGGGACCTGCAGTGCTGAACCAGAGATTTTGCCGAACCGCGAGTCAGTAGTGTCTTGCAAGATTTCCAATGCTTCCACTGATCGCTGGGCTCTTAGAAGACATTTAGGGGTATATTAGAGCTGAATAACAGCACAGAACACTGAGAGCCAGGACTGGTGGCTATAAACAAACTTTATGGCACTGCGGGAAACTTGGCCACATCCATGTTAAGTGGACATCCAGCTAACTGAAATCATGCCGGACCCTGGATGATGCCAGTCTAGAGAGGTTCAACCTGTAATATGCTTCTCCAACCTCCATTAAATATCATAGCAGGGGGAGTTCTGCACTCCTGGTATATACATAAAGAGACAGGCTACTGGGCTAGATGGACCTTTGGTCTGACCCAGTACAGCTATTCTTATGGTCTAAGATTTACTAATGATTGTATCCTTCTTCCCCGGACTGCAGTCAGTTCCATAATTAACTGAGGTCCAGATTCTGTGAGCTGCTTTGGGCCCAGTTCACCTTGATAAGTGCCAGCACATTCTTGGATCTTCCTCTTGTTAAATTCATACCCTTTGATCTAAGGAATTTCTTCCTCCCCTCCTTTTAACTTCTGTCTATGATGATTACCAGGGTTGCTCCCACCTGCCCCGAATGACATTCTCCTTAGATGCTCTTTCCTTTCAAAAGAGCTAGTGTGTCTCCTATAGCAGAACTGTGTGTTCACTACGTGCTGCCTTGCACAGTACCTTGGGCATTATCAATGGCTGGGTTATTGCTCTGGCTTCCTGCCTATGTACTCAACTCTCCCGCCAAGCAGTGCAGCCATTTACATCAGATTCCATATTCTTGGTGCACCTGAGTCACTGCAAGATGATGGACCTGAGAGCCCTTTGGGGCAGTGTTATATGATAGCTTGTTCCTACCCAATAGAATTAGGTTTTCACATCTCTCTTACAGACTATAGCTTTAAGGTAAAAATTGATGCTTCTAGAGCTTTTTGTTGTTTCTTTTTGCTGTTCCTCTTCTGCCAACAGTGCAGTTCCTTTACAAAAAGCTGTGTGAATGCTAGTTCTTCACCCTAACGAGCTTCCTATTTAAATATGAAATTGGATAGTTGCCCATCTAGTATATGGGCATGCTTCAGATGGGAAAGGCCTTCTGCACTGTACTTGGAAAGCATCTGGATCCAATTATAACACCTACTCTTAACACCTATTACTTCTATCACCACTTTTGTGGGGTAGATCTCAACACATTGACAAACATTAGTTATCAGAGCTTACCAGCCCACTGAGTTTTAGGACAGTATTTTTCTCCTTTTACAGATGAGTAAGGCAGAGTCTACGTGAATAGTACAAAGTGAGACCACAAATCTGTGGCACAGAGCTGCGTATAGAAATTAGGGTCCATTATACTGTCACCTGTGCAAAGTAGCTGTTAAACTCTGCCAGGTCGCAGGAACCAATTTTACACTTTGTAAGGTTCAGGCCGCTGGAGACTCAGGCTCACAAGAGTCCTTTTCACCTATCAGCAGGTATTCTGAACTTTCCCCATTATCCTTCTCAAATAGTGCGGTGAAAAGAGAGGGAAATACCCCTAGATCAGGGCTGCCGAGGAACTTGTCTGTGCTCTGCAGTCGATTTATGAAGGAGATGGAGTCTCCTTTCAGTTGCTGCCACTCAGGTTCAGGAATATGGTGAATTCTTAAAACTCCTTTATCATTGGACTCCTTCCTTTAGTTGATCACAGAGACATTCAACCACCACAACAAGTTGGCTCAGAAAGAGCGGAAGGAGAAAAAGGCCCGGCAAGAGGCAGAACAGCGTGAAAAGGCAGAGCGAGCTGCCAGACTCACTAAAGAAAAGAAGCAGGAAGATAATGAGCCGAGGATCAAGGAGCTTACGGAGGAAGAGGCAGAAAGGTTACAACAGGAAATCGACCAGGTAAGAGCTCAGTATGGGGAGCATGGGGGTGTGCACCATCTACCGTTTAAATGGAGACTGGAGCTAGAGCTGTTGGCTGGTATGCAACCCAATCAGGAGTGACTGGTATAATGCAGCTAGAAGGTTCATGCTCTTATTGCAACTGAGCATTCTGGTGCAGTTTGACTTACTGTCTGTGCGATTACACTGGGAAAGGGAGCAGAGGAGGGCAGAGGCCATTCCAGTCTGCCTTTCAGAAAGTGGGGCTTTCCTGTTACAGGGTGCAGTAGGGCTGACAATCCCCTCCCCTCCCCAAGTTTCCTGTAGTTGTGAGTTATGCACAGTCCTGTAACTTCTAACTCTAAAGAAGGAAATGGGGTCACCTAGTGCTGTATCGGTAGGTTTCACTTGTCAGTTTCTCAGACTTCAGATAATTATTCTGGGGGGGGGTGTCTTTTTTTTTTTAACAGAAAAAAGAACAAAAACAAGATGAGCCCAAAGAAGTCTCCATGAAACCCTCTGAGAATCCAACAGAATCTCCAGAGTCTAGCAAACAGGTAATATATTCCTAGAGACTTCCTCAGTTCTGGGGAGGTGAAGCAGTCCAGCACTGACATGGCCTCTCAGTGTGTGGGAGGAGTGAAAAGGGTGAAGTGTCCCCTGTCTTTGAGTGGGCACTGGAGATCTACAGTGCTTCTGCCATCTGTACCCCCTGCCCAATTGGAGCGTGCAACTGATTCTCAAGGATGGTCTCTCTTTTTTTTTAAAATCTGATGCTTTGAAAGGAAATATCTGCCTTCTAATTCTCTACTGGATCTGCATGGCGTGCCTTGGCCATTGAACATATCATTAACTGGAATGTCCCATATGAGTTTAAAGAGCCATCCTTACTAGTGAAATGTATATGCGGGCTTGAAAATCTCTTTACTGATGCTTCAGTTGTCTGTTTAGGAGACGGATGACGAGGAAGAAGATGAGAAGGATAAAGGAAAACTTAAACCAAACTCTGGGAATGGTGCTGACCTTCCGAACTATCGGTGGACACAGACCCTTTCTGAACTGGATGTGAGTGTTGCCTTGGATTGGGGGAGTGAGGAATTCTAGCCTCGAAACTTGAGGGCTGGCGCTGCTATGAACTGTGGAGCTCTTGATCAGTAACAAGATCAACTAGCTCAGTGATATGTCTTGTACTATGGTTATCTAAGAAGATAAAAACAACTGTACGGCTGTAGCACACCCATAGGGGAAGAGAAAACTTGGCAGTTAACAATCTTTGAGACTCATGTTTTGCTCATCCTGTGCAACCCCCTTGAGACTGGTCAGGCATCATCTTGCCAAATGGCTGCTTTAGCTCCCACAGAATTCATGTATTTAATGCACAAAGAGCATATCCTTCCTGGGCATGTACCATCTAGCTCAGATGGACTCTAGTTAGAAAGTCTTAGATCAGTAATACACAAGAACATGAGAGATCTCTCTGATCCCCTCCATCTCCTATGCAGCTGGCCATCCCATTCAAGGTGAACTTCCGGCTGAAGGGGAAGGATGTGTTGGTGGACGTTCAGAGACGACATCTGAAAGTGGGGCTGAAGGGGCACCCCCCAGTGATTGATGGGGATCTGTACAATGAAGTGAAGGTGGAGGAGAGCTCCTGGCTGATTGAGGATGGTAAAATAGTCACTGTGCACCTGGAGAAGGTAAGTACATAAACACCAGAGGTCCACCTGGTATCAGCACAGTATCTTAACACCTCAATCTAGGATACATCTTCAGGGCTTGTCCGCATGTAAAATGCGGTGGCATTGGGTTCTCTGCCTCCCTGAGGGGAGGTAACTAGGATTGTCCCATTGATTATGGGCTGTCTACACCGGGGTTGGGTCGGCTTAACCATGTCACTTAGGTAAAATAGAATTCTTTACCCCCTGTCCTAAGCAATGTGGTTCTGCCGACTAATTGCCTAGTGTAGACCAGGCCTCGGATTTGTCACCTAAAAAGAATGGCTTAGGCCTGGGAAACTCTCACATCCTGCATGAGGTCCGGGAGGGTGAAATGAGTGATGGGGTTCAGGCTCATGTCAGTCAGAGCCAGGAACCTTGTAGATTAAGGTTTTCCTTCTCGGCTCATGTCAGTCAGAGCCAGGAACCTTGTGGATTAAGGTTTTCCTTCTGTTCTTAGTACGGTATTGCTTAAGCCTTGATACTGCTCCACAGTGTATTGAGGACCAGAGTCTGACCAAATGTTCAACCTTCACTTTTAATGTACCCACAATCTTGGATTAGTCACTTGCTCTTTGAGAATGGAGTCGTATTTCTTTTAAATTTGGGTGCATTGCCAGAGCGAAGTTCTGGTCTCTCTCACCGGTGGTACGTGAACGTTTGGGCACAGCTTGTGTGTGGCATGTGCTAGCTGGTTTCAGGGTGGCAATTTCTTTTATGACATTGCCGTTGACTTAATAATAGGGACTCCTGGACACTGTCTCCTTGCAGATTTACTGGCAGTGACAGTTCCTACCATTTGGGGTTAAATGGAGAGAACTGGCTTTGTCTTTATCTTCTGATGGACGTTGTCAGTTAAAGAGCTACAGGAACAGCACCTCTTCCTTTGTAACACAAAAGTAATGCTCCCTCTCCCATCCCATATGAGCATTTCCAGAGAAACTGCTGCTTAGGAAGAGTTCTTTACCACCTCTTTTCCTCTCTTCAGATCAACAAGATGGAATGGTGGAACAAACTAGTCCTCACAGACCCAGAAATCAACACAAAGAAAATTAATCCGGAGAATTCAAAGGTAACGTGTCTGATGGTCACTCCATTAACCATAGTGACCTTTTGGCCTCTACCATGTAGTCTCTCTGCGAGCAAAGAAAATGGGGCCAAAAGGATATAGAATCCAAAGAGGATGAAGACTTGAGAGAAATGTTGCCACACTACTTAGTTTCGTAGGTCAGGCAACTTGTTTACCATACCCCACGAGAAATATAGTCTGAATTAGAAGTGGCACTGCAGAATTTCTTATGTCCTGGGAAACCAAGATGTAAACATGTCACTGCCTCTTCCTCTGACTTGAGTTACAATGTATTCCTTATTACTCCAGAAAAGTTTGCTCCTATAGCAGCTAGTGATTGATCAACTGGAGGGCATTAGGTGGTACGTTAAAAGGAATGTGAGGTGGAAAGGTGCCTCCTTATGAAACAGTGTTTGGATCAGAGTATGACTGTATAGCAGCTAGTGATTGATCAACTGGAGGGCATTAGGTAGTACGTTAAAAGGAACGTGAGGCGGAAAGGTGCCTCCTTATGAAACAATGTTTGGATCAGAGTATGACTAACTGGATATTTCCTAAGAGTACGTCTACACTAGCCCCCTAGATCTATCTAGGGAGGCTAATGAGGGTGACCGAAATGGCAAATCAAGACCAGGATTTAATGGCCAGTCGCCATTTTAGAAATTGACTAGCCCGAAGTAACTGCCCGCGTCAACATGCGGCAGTGAAATGGGATTCCGATTTAAAGCCCCTAACTCGAATTAGCTGGTAAACCTCATTGCAGGAGGAATATCAGCTAATTCGAGTTAGGGCTCTAAATCAGAATCCCATTTCACTGCCGCATGTTGACACGGGCAGTTCATGCGACAGTGAAATGGGATTCCGATTTAAAGCCCCTAACTCGAATTAGCTGGTAAACCTCATTGCAGGAGGAATATCAGCTAATTCGAGTTAGGGCTCTAAATCAGAATCCCATTTCACTGCCGCATGTTGACACGGGCAGTTACTTCGGGCTAGTCAATTTCTAAAATGGCGTCCGGCTCGGAACATGCAAATCAAGTGCGGGATATTTAAATCCCGGGCTTGATTTGCAATTTTGGTCACCCTCATTAGCCTCTCTAGATCGATCTCGGGGGCTAGTGTTGACGTGCCCTGAGTGGGGATATGGATGGCATAATTAGAAAGAAGTGATCCAGCAAGTTAAATGATTCAAAAGTCTGGGATTGTGTTGGCTGCTTCAGAGGTAGTCGTGCAACCTGAATGCAGCAAAACTTATTGTGGTAAGTGCAGCTGGATTTACAAATAAATTTCTATATAATTAAGCTGGTAGTTTGCATGCTGCGGTGCATTGAAAATGTACAGTCTTACAGAACCTCCGCTTAGAATGATCTTTGTAAACCATGGGGGATGTAGTTTGTTCCTCCATCTATAACAATCTCCTTGGGTTTTAGTTGTCAGATCTGGACAGTGAAACTCGCAGCATGGTGGAGAAAATGATGTATGATCAACGGCAGAAATCCATGGGGCTCCCGACATCTGATGAACAGAAGAAGCAGGATATACTGAAAAAGTGCGTAGAGAGAATTCATCCATGGGTACCTCCTTCCCTATCTCCCATGAGATGCAAAATTGCTCAGCCAGATGTCCTGGAGTAATTGTGGGGCAGGGTGACATGACAGAGCATGAGAGATTTGGCTTGGAGCTTGTCTGCATTCACTTGCAGAACTCAGATTACATGTTTTAGATGTTGAAGTTCAGTGTTGGCTAGGAGAAGATGTTGGGATGGAAACGTTGAATTGTGCTGTGTTGCACAGCCCTGCTCTAGGACTAGCTTCTAGTGCAGGGAGTAAGACCCAGCAGGTGATATCTGAGCTGGAGATACTGTCTTTCTGGAGCCACTGAGATCATGTGAAAGCTTATTAATCTCCCTCAACCTAGTAGCCCAGATAATCTTTCCTCCCGCCACAGCCTACATTAGACAGCTGTCTCCAAGCCAATAGCACATTTATGTCTTTATAGCCCTATTTGGCATAACTGCACCTTGGAGCTTCTGTTAGTAACTTCCCTGCCAAGGCCATGGGCGGTCACTGCCCACATCTGCTGGGGTTGGGAGTAGGGGTAACTGTGGGTCAGGCAGCTTCCTCTTGTAAGTGCAGAACTGAGGAGGGTTAGTGCACCAGGACAGTTTCTTCTGCTAACATTTCTCCCTCCTTGGATTTTTTGCCACTGACGTACATTTCCTGGCAGTATTGTCAGCGATTGTTTTGTGATCAGCAATCCAGAGCAGGAGTGGGCAAAAGGAGCTTTGTGGGCTGGATCTGGCCCATGGAGGCCCTGCTGCTCCCCCGCCCCCTGGCCAATCAGGGTCCACGGACAAGGGGAAACACACAAAGTTTCCTTCCGCCCCACAAGGAGTGTGTGGTGCTTAGAAGCACTGCACACTCCTGGCAAGGTAGGAGAAGACTTCATGTGTTCCCTCTGCCCCCAAGCCCTGACTGGCCGGAGGGCAGGGGAGGAAGCACGCAAAGTCTCCTTCCACCCTGTGAGGGGTGCGGTGCTTCTAAGCACCACACACTCCTTGCAGGATGGCTGCAGAATGGGAAGAGACTTTGTATGCTCCCCGTCCCCAGGCCAGTCAGGGCTAGGCAGTGGGGGAAGTGTGTGAAGTCCCCTCCAGCCCTGCAAGGGGCACTCAGCACTGTGTCAACCACCAGCTGCTGCTCAGCTGGTGGTTGACTCTGAGTGGTGCTCCCTTGCAGGGCGGGAGCAGGGAGTGAGAGATTTCACATGCTCCCCCTCCCCAGGCCCTGATTGACCTGGGAGCAGTAAGGTGGAGTATGCAAAGTCTTCCACCGTCAGGGGCACGGGTGCCTAGAGGGAACCACCAGTTGTTCAGAACTTGCGCTCCCTCAGCCACAGATCAATCGGGTCTGTGGGTAGCATGAAAGTGTCCTGGCCCCACCCTTTCCGGATGGCCTGGGACCATTTCAAAAATTTCTGAGGAGCCCCTCCTCCCCTCCCCCAGTCAAAAATTATTGCCCACCCCTGCTCTAGAGGCTTGGTCAAGCTAACAGTCCATCAGTGTTTTGTGCTGTGTTTCTGGGGAGAGGAGACGTGTTCCACAATGTACATCAGACCCTAAGCTGAGACGGTCTCCCTTCAGCCCTCGGGAAGAACCTGGGCTGGCCCTTGCTTCCCTGACCAGTGTAGATGAGATCTCTTGTACACAAGATCACTTGCTGAAAGTTCTTTGACTGGTGAAGAATGGCCGTGAAGTTGAGACTGTTGGCACGTTGTGGGCTCGGTTCCTGTTCTCTGCCAGCTTCTGAGAGGTCGTGCAGAATGGCATTGTCCTTTGCTATGGCTGCATGTAGCCCTCTGCCTAGCCAGCAGATGGAACGGGGCAGGATGTGCGTGGGTCATGGGTGGGGAGCATCTTCTCCTGACCTTGGGCGAGTCAACACTCCTGTTATCCCCCAGTGAGCTTGCCACAGATGCAGCTTCCTGACGCATCCCCTTCACTGCTGTCAGTCCAGCACCATGCAAGGCCCCTGCCTTACTTTGCAGCAGCTCCTGTCCGACCTGCAGCCAGCGGGCTCACATTTATATCGACAGTGGGGGCTTGCTTGGCAGAGCGCAGGGGATGCAGCAGACAACGTTGGTGGGTTGCTTCCATGTGCGATATTGTGCCTTTCCCTTGCTGCAGCATTTGCAAAGCTGCTTGCAGTGGCAGGCAGAGCATCAATCTAATCAAAGTGCCAGATGAGCAGTGCTTAGGGCTGGGTCTGGCCTACCCTTACAGGGGGTGGTTTGTGACATCCTTCCCTGGGTATTGTTCTCATTACCACAGCCGTGGAGACATTCCCGCCATCCCCAGAAACACGTATGACTCAGGAATATGTTCAGGCTTAGATCAGAATTCCCTTGCCCCCGTTATCAACTGCAGCTGCTACGTGTCTGGCCTGAAGGGTGTGTCTGATTAATAATCGCTTCTCATTCTCACCTGCTGGCCTTGGTGACTGGGCACCGTTACTGATATTACTACCAGGAGCAGAAAGAGTGATGAGGTGTCCAAGGTACCTTGCACGGGAAGCTCTGCATCGTGGCTAATGGGAGACCTGCAGGGCAGCGGAAGGGCAAGGTAGCGGCCCCAGTGGAGAGGGCCCTGCTGTCTTTTCCTACGTGGCAAGGGCTGAATGGGTCACTGCCCTGCCTGGCTTGTTCACTAGTGCGCCTCTGTCTTACAGGTTCATGGAGCAGCATCCTGAAATGGACTTCTCAAAGGCTAAATTCAACTGAGCCCCTTGATCTCCTCTCCCCCCACCCGCCTCAGACAAGCCATGGAATGGGGCAGGATGTGCATGGAGCGGGGGTGGGGAGTGTCCTCTCCTGACCTGGGGCTTGCAGAATGGCATTGTCCTTTGCTATGGCTGCATGTAGCCCTCTGCCTAGCCAGCAGATGGAACGGGGCAGGATGTGCGTGGGTCATGGGTGGGGAGCATCTTCTCCTGACCTTGGGCGAGTCAACACTCCTGTTATCCCCCAGTGAGCTTGCCACAGATGCAGCTTCCTGACGCATCCCCTTCACTGCTGTCAGTCCAGCACCATGCAAGGCCCCTGCCTTACTTTGCAGCAGCGCCTGTCCGACCTGCAGCCAGCGGGCTCGCATTTATATCGACATTGGGGGCTTGCTTGGCAGAGCGCAGGGATGCAGCAGAAAAAGGCTATTTGAGTTAGGCTAAAGCAATGTTTGAACATCTAGGACTGTCCCTTGCCTCTTGGAACCCACTAACCCCAGCCCCTGGTTCCGAACCCATCTAGGTGTGACCGGAATAGAGCCGCCCTCCACGCACCTGCTTTGAAACGGGGGCAATTCCATCCTCTGCCCCTCCCCCTCCTCATGTACTTGCTCCAAAGCACCTGCACAGCTCTCGTAGGACCTGCCCTTTGTGTATCAAGCAATTTGAGGCTGGATGAGCTGTGGAGTTTGGAGGGTTGGTTCTACCGTCAGCAATACAGCCCTGTTTGCACTCCGTTGAGTCCCTCAGCTCTTCCTGCCTGCCTGCCCTGCTCTGGTATAGAAATGGTTGGCTCCTCTAGCTTCCATCTGTTTGTCTGGGGGGAGGTCCCCAATACGGCCGCCTTCGCCCTTGGGCTTTGGAGTAGAGGCTAATGTGCCAATTAAACACCATGTTCTCGACAGCAGAAGGATTTTACGCCTGGTCCACACGAGTGCAAACCCATTTCAGTTACTAGAGGGCACTGCTCATCGCTCTGCTGCTCCAAATAGCGGGGGAGGGGGGCTTTGTGGCCTTTCTCATCGAGGGGAGGTGCTAGTGTGGAATCAGGCTGGGGGGAGAGGAGGTTCGTTTGTTGATTTGCCCATTGTTGGGCTTGGTGAAAACGGGACCTAATTCAGGGGAAATGGGGGAGTGCAAACCCATTTCAGTTACTAGAGGGCACTGCTCATCGCTCTGCTGCTCCAAATAGCGGGGGAGGGGGGCTTTGTGGCCTTTCTCATCGAGGGGAGGTGCTAGTGTGGAATCAGGCTGGGGGGAGAGGAGGTTCGTTTGTTGATTTGCCCATTGTTGGGCTTGGTGAAAACGGGACCTAATTCAGGGGAAATGGGGCTAAAGTGAGGGGGTCCTGAAATTCCCTTTTCAGACCCTCCTGCTCTTGCAAAGG